CGTTGTCCAGGTTTTGGACGGTTAGCACCCATTTTCCCGTCTCTTCGTAGTCCACATTTTTCTCGCAATTTATCACTTGATGTCTGAATTTGACGTATGATTTAAAGTCGATACTATCGGCGCACGACTCCAAGTACTGGGCCTTTGATTGGCATATTTAATGATAAAAATATTTATAAATAAAAGAAGCTAGGTATAAATTAATATATCAATTGTATCGGTAATTATTGTTTGTTATATGTTTTTATTTTTAATTCAATATATAAGTTATTATATCTATTAATTAATTCATGAATTCCTTGTGATCTCATTTATATTCATAATTCTTGCAATATATTTATTTGTGCTCACCAAGTAAACTTATTAAAATGTCAAAAATTTATATTTTTGAAAATTAAAATATGTAAATGTGTTTTGAGTGGATAATTAGATCAAAGTGTATTTCATTGAATAATGATTATAACTCCTTGGTAACCAAAATATTACTCTAATTATAGTATTTATTGTTTCTAAATAACGTCAAAATACTATAATTAGCATCAATTCCTATACTGTATTTGCATATTTATATTAAAATTTTAACAAATAAAGTATTAATATAACTGATTTACGTATAGTATGCAGGATATCAACAATAATTGTTAGTAATTATAATTGATCACAAATTATTTTGATTGCTGTCAACACATTTATAAATAAATAAAATATATATATATAAATACCATATAATTGTTGGGCATATAATTGGGATATTCCTGAGGGACAGGCATATCGGAAAAAGCAGTCATCTCTTTGCTGGTATTGCACACCAATGTCTTCATAATCATAGCGTTTCCCTCGACGTCGTCCTCGCTATACCTCCAGAGACCGCATATCCTATCAGTCCTCTCGTAGACCACTATATCCGTGAATCCCTGTTCACGACAGGCCTTCACGCCGGCGATGCCTGAGATACCGGCGCCGATGATACCGATCCGTTTGGCCGACATTTTAAGACATTTAACAATCAATAGCTAGAAATAGTGTTTCACTTATTGTATGTATGTTTTTGAGGGGATATTTGAGTTGAGCATTGAATGCGTGAATGAATTACTGGATTAGTAGTTAAGAAAAAACTCGTTTTCAATGCAAATCAATCGCTCATAGGGTTTGGGATCTATCGTTGGCTGAGGATATGCCAGACTATAAACAACTTTCCCTATCTGTCAGTTGAATCACAATTTGAGGAATACCAGGAAAGTTAAAAATATATTTTTCTTCTTTTTAATTAGAAAAATTACCTTTCATACATATGCTTATTTTCTATGCATTTGCAATTAAATAGCTAACATTAAGATATAGCATTATTTAATTATTTTGTTTTCGTATCTTTAATTCAATTTTTATATATTTGAAAAAATCTTTATAATGTAAATATTACTTGAGATAAATGCCGTTTATTTATATGTCTTTCTGAATTATTTGTTACAAATTTAATGATTACATAAATCATTCATACTTGTTATTACTCTTTTGTATTTGTGAAATATTATAGTAAAATATGAAACAACAAAATAAAAATAAAAGCTGTAGAACCGAGTATTGCACAATTAAATGTTAAAACATATTGAGATTAGATCAATCAATATTTGTATTTAAATATCACATTTGTATACAATTTATTTTTATTTTTAAAATAATTATTTTTGATGTCATAATAATTTATGGAATTATTATTTATTTATAAAGTCTGTTTTTATATATACAGTATTTCAATATTTCTGTAGATTTAATTTTGAAATACATTTTATATTAATATTTATGATTAATGATTACTAAATAAAATATTTCAATGTCTCTATGTTTTAATTTGTCGATATTTATATAATTAAAGTTTTATGTAAATATGTTGTGCATTTTCAAACATTGAGAATAATAAAATATTATAATACAGTTAATGTTTATCAATGACAAATTATCATACTTGTATAATGTACATAAACATTCTGAAAATAGATATTAGTAAACCTATGCTAGTTTTATAGTTTGCAAAATTTAATCAAAATTAAAATTATATATTAAATTAATTTTAAAACCCAATGGAGGAAAGTGAAAAGATTTATAACTTCTTTATTTTATATCAAAAATTAAAGCATTTTAAATTAAACACCAATAATATTTGTACACCTAATACTGAGCCAGTTGCAAATATTACTGTTATTGTCAGATCTATTCAGAAAAATGGGGTAATCTACTTTTAATTGCTCATATTTTTGGGATTATTTAATTTAATTTGTTGTAAATATTTTGATAGTTAACATTAGACTCATTCATGTCGACAATTGTGGACTATTTGTTATGTTCACTAAAATTAAATGTAATCATTAAATCTACAATTGGGGAAATGGTCATGTTCAAGGTAAGTTTAAGTTATTTATTAAAACTTTTAATAACTAAATCAATGCAATAAATTATCAGGACAATCCATTGATACAACCATACCAACTGAATTGGACGGCAATTGGTCTATACGACTACATCACAACTAATCAAATATATTTATTTGCAATTTTAACTAAAATACAAATATTTAAGGATAAAAATTATCTCTCATTCTTGACATTGTTTGATACCCCGGTAAATATAAAAATTATATATAAACTACACTTAAGATATAGAAATTTACTGACAATTGTAAGAATTGATACAATATTTTGCTCTAAAGGTTTGGCTATTAATTATCTCATCAATAATCACAATAAATATAATCTGGGCAAAGCTAAACCCTAGAAAATGTCACATGAATAGAAACTTCATCCATGTCCTAGCTCTTATTATTGAACAACAGTCACATATATACGCCAAACTCCAACCCCTATTACCCACAAACACACGGTTTTACGTGAAAATAGCATTCATTTCACTGATTATAACATATCTAACGATGAGTTCAATAATAAGCAGAAGTTTTTCGCGACTCCTATTGAGTACATATTGTGCCGAAAAGTCGGGTCCAATGGTCGACACGTTTGACGACCTGTTTAGCGATTCCATACCGTTTCGTGTACTCATGAGAACCCGGGGGAAAAACAATATGCTGGCCCTTAGGCCCAGGGATTACAATCGACTGCAACATAAGATAACACTAACACACGAAAGATATCGAGATAATGAAAAAATTATTAAACTATTAGAAGGGGTGGCGGAAGGGAAGTATGTATATGTGGGTAAATCGGATACACTCAAGATATTTCAAAAGGTGTGTGCGTATTTGCCCTTGGTAATTTCGCCTAATAAGTATAGTATGAATTATTACGCCCTGGCAATCTCGAAACGACATCCCTATAAAATAGTTATAGCTAAAAAGTAAGAAAGCACATTTATACTAAATAGTTGTTGGGTCCATAATCCAATGATTAAAATTAATTATCTATTTATAAAGGTATAAATGTCTGTATTATTTGATTACAGCTTATTGCATGGAGTGGAAGGGGGTCTATATATAAAATACAAAAACGTGTATAATATATATTTACAATGGATGGGCCGGTATACGGCACACGTACACAACAGGGTCAGTCCAACTCAGACATCGGACACCACTACATCATCGTCTACACAAGTGGTCGACCAAATCAATTTGGATGAAGTCAGAAGGGGTGTAGTTCCCGTACTGTCTACTGGGCTATTCATATCGAGTGCTGTATTTGCTATAGAAATATGTACTAAATTTTTATCATTTTAAAAATTAATTAATGTAGAAGTTAGTTTAAAATATGTGAATATTATTGATATAGATATAATATCACGATAAGTCATCAACACGTATATAATATGCGTATTTCCCTTTGACTGTGAAATTAATAGACATATTTATAAATATATTGTAGTATTTTGACGACAATTAGTGACACAAACAAAGATTTTAACTAAAATTTTATTTATAAAAATGTAACAAATATCTCAATACTTATGAAAACTGATAGGAAATCAATGCTTCCTTTGTAATCATCGCATATATTGTCTGACATTTGTTGTAATATTTATAGCATTATAAGTTATTGTAAATATCATGTTACTTAAATATTAATGAATAAGTCTAATCAAGTTATTTAATAATTATTTTTAAAAATTATTACGAAATTAGTTAATAAAAATGTTAAATGTTATAACATTTTGTGAAATGTTGTTTATTATGTATAATAAGTTATATTTAAATGTCACGAATAATAATGTATAATCAAAATATGAATAAATTAATAATTATATTTGTAGTTTATCTAATAAATAATTGTAATAATAATGTGATGACAGCTCTCATAGAAAGTCGATATTATAAGAAACTAAACAATATTTATAACAAACATTTTGACGATAATTATTATAAGAAATTTAAACCATTCCCATTTAATGTGCCTGTTTACCAACCATGCTATAATTGCAATGTTAAACCTAGTGTTGATGACCATGGTAAATGTGAGATTAAAATCGTAACTAGCGGTACCTGTACTGTGAATAAGCATGTCATACAACCCAAAGTGGTGGTCCAACACTCCACTAAACTTAAGGATTATTATTATCCAGGTTAGTCAAATTTAGACTATTAATCCAGGTTATTATTTCTAAAACTTTTTTTAGAAATAGTTTACAAAGTAGAGAGAAATGACGACCGGTTCAGAAATATGGAGCCCTTCACGATAGGTCAACAAAAGGCCAACACTTTTGTGGACCAGTTTCTCATACATTTCCGGGACATGTATGGCCCGCAGTTGGATCCCATGTCTATACCCAACTTCGGTGACTTTAAGCTTGATAATATGGGTACGCAGTGCTCATCTAGTATTTAAAATTATAATTAAATGTAACTAGGAACAAAAATTATGACATTAACCACTGCCTACACCAATGACAGGAAATATACGGATATACGACCTAAAGCTGACGGGTATATCACACATGAAACGGGAGGGTAGTATAGAGGTGCACACCAATGGGCGCATGAAGTTGTGGACAATTAAGACCAACCTCTCTATCGCTAACATAACGGCTGACTTCAAAGTGGACGCACAGCTCCACAAAGGCCTATACATAAGCGGTTGGGCGCTACAGGTGCTCATCGACCGGTGCCTATTGACGGCGGTATTGGATTACGACGAGTCCACCAAAATGATGACAGTGTCTAAGCTCGGGGTGAATAGTATTGAGGGGTTTACCCTGAACACGGACAACCTCTCGTGGCCTTTCAACGATGTGGTGCCGCAGATCATTGACCACCAAATGGATCACTTGAAGACAGTCATCGGCAGTCATACCCACAAGTATTTGACGCAAACCCTGAAGTCGTTTAATGTGTCCAAACTGTTGGATCGGATG